TGTTCACTGTTCAAATTGGGAGGTGTTCACATTTCAAGGTTTTTTTAACATGGGAGTCAATGGGAGGAAAAATGGGACCGAAAAAAAGTGTTCAGATTAGGAGGTGTTCTGATTAGCCAGGTGTTCAGATATACAGGTTTTACTGTATTGGAGATATTATAGATGGATGGTTTTATTAATCAGGAAACCTAGCATAAAAGCATATATTTGACGTAATAAGACGCATTTAAAAATAGCTATAACACCTGTGTCGATCTCTTTTTACGTACCATGCTCATATTCACTGGACTTCAATTAGTCTTTATATTCAGAAAAAGTAAAACAGTAGATTTCGCAATTAGTAATTTGATTTAATGAAACACGAAGTATTATATGGTTTATTTTTATAGAGCACAATAGACGTAACGTGTAAAATTCAATGCGTTTAACATTACCATAAAAACATACAATGAGTGTAACCCGACCCAACAAAGATACAATGCGTGTAACATAGTCCACCCGTATAACTTAGTGGTAGCGCGTGTACCTTTTACGCAATAGGTCCTGGATTTGATCACTGCTTCAGGAAAGACTCAATCATCATCATAAACCATGCCATCTTATTTCTTCTCAGCCCTGAGATGTTTCAGGTGAAACAGAAAGATGCTATAAGTATCATAATGAGACTTAATTTGCTTGTTTGCGTTTTAATAGGGTGTTTGACTGAGTGGTCCACAACTCGTACAAAATGCCGCGGTGTTCACTTGTTTGACTATGTATGAGTGCACATAAAAAGTAACAGGGCTTCTCCAGGGAGGGGTTCCTGCGTCTGCCTTCCATGATTACATGCGTTAACTACGACCATATGTATACGGATTATACCCAAGAGCTATTGCTCACCTTCAACAAAATACAACAATACAACAAAATGACCGGCCAACAAAGAGACAATGCAGGTAAACATAGATACTATGCGTGTAACATTACCCCAACAAAGATACAATGCGTGCAGTATGGCCTCGGCAAAGATACAATGCATATAGCATGACCCGAACAAAGATACATTGCATGTAACATTACCGACCAAGAAAGATACAATGCGTGTAACATAACCGATCAACAAAGATACAATCCGTGTAACATGACCCCAACAAAGATACAATGCGTGTCGTGTAACCTGATCCCAACAAGGATACAATGCGTGTTCCGTGACCCCAACAAAGATACAATGCGTGTAACATGACCCCAACAAAGATTCAAATCAGGCATTGAAATTGACCCCATCAATTAAAATTTTCTTCTTTTACCTGTCGTCTTTGTTCGAAAATGATATTTCTTCTTTGGCATTCACATTATGCAATTATTTTGACATACCTTTATGTATACATTACACGTTATACTTTGATCATACTGACCTCTCCTTATTATGCTTCTACTGGTAAAACTGTCACAAAATCCATGAACATGGCATGTTATGGGCGATAAAACATGACAACAGGACAGTGGATAGATTTGAAGTTTACTAGTAAGCGGGGATCATTGTACATCATTTTACAGATTAACAATTTTCCTTAGTAGATTAAATTTATCCCTGTACTGCTCGCGGATATAGTGCGAGGGCTGTTCCAGAAGTAATGCACAATTTATATAATATATGCAAGGAAGTAAGAGCATATATTTCGATATTTCTGGAACAACCCTCGTTTATGGTCCATATTGAATAACCGTGTTTTTGAAAAATCAATCTTTCGGAAAGGTTAGACATATGATATGCCATCTGATGTGATTTGATTCCCCGTTAAGTATAAGCCTTGCGAGTACCATTTTCTTCAAGATCGAAGTAGTAGGGGCCGTACGTTTACTAGAATATCATAAATGTTGAAAACAATATTTTCAAAAAGTTTGCCAACGTTTCCCTTACAGTTCTAATTTCATTATCTGAAAGGGAAATTGTGATCTTACTGAATTGGAAGTTGGTTATTAAAGATTGAAGATGAAGAAATATTATCAACGGTCAATTAATCCCTGCTTGATCTAGCAGAAAAAGTGATCACGTAATTTTATTGGAAACGCACAAACTGTATTGTTCCACATTAAATGACGGTTGGCGCACAAACTCAAACGTTCAGTAAAGAACAATCATTTTCTGGACCTAGATGATTTAAGAATTTTGTAGAAAAATCAAGTTAACCATTTTCTTGGTGTATTAAAAGAGAACCTTAATGAATTTTGGCCTTTTGTTGTTTCTGGCTTTTTAGAAGTTCCACAAAGTCTGTTTGAAATTCAAATATTCGAAATCCACTTTCCACTAGTTTCCAAAACAACTTTTTTCTCATACAAGTCATAAGAAATGAAATTCACGGGGATTCAAAGCATCCAACGTTTGGAGAGTGCTTTATAATACAGACTGATACATTTTAAATAAAAAAATTCTAGTCTTGGAGTTACATTACTTACATTACTTAAAATAAATTGGTATGATTATTATGTTTATTTATCCATCATTTTTGATGAGTACATATTTAAAACATATTATTGAATTATACATAATATGATGTAAATTATATGATGCGTGAATATGTATACATTATTTAAGCCCTGGATTTATTGGACTGAATAAGGACTGAATTCGTTGTGAAGTTTATGAAATAAAGCCTGGGTGGAATGAATCAGCCAGAATGCATCAAGTCTTGGGTTTAAATTCTTTTCACACGTTGCAATATTTTTTCTCCGAAACCACCTAAAAAATCGAAATTACTCAAAGAACATAGTTTGGCGAACCAATATTTTCAATTTGTAGAGTCAAGTTGTCACAACCATTCAACGAATGACCTTGGGTGAGTTATTGGATAATGCAGTGCAGTTATATGAAATACTGTTTGGATTGGCTGGAATCGGACACATCTTGCCTAACTACACGGGGGTAAAGCAGACCCGATGATGCAATGAGCTTCAGGCTTGCTCGGCGGTATCATGGCTGTGTAACGGGTCTTAATGTATAAGTGTGCTCGGCGGTAGGTTCAAACAACGCGGATCCTCAAAGCATGTGCTCATGGTATATTCGTGTTTTAACACCCGTGTAACTATGTGTGAATAAAGAATCATTAACATTAAAGGCAGAATCTGATCTATAGGGGGTGACAAAATTACAAGCAACATGTATAATTGACCTACCAATCTATTCCTTACACTATCAAATACAATATCTCCGAAAAGATTCACAATATGTTATAAATTGGTGAAGTTATTAATGATTCAAAGTGCAAAAATGGGTCAAAAATGTTTAAATTCTCCCAAATAATAAGAATGGTAACCATTCTTATAGATAAATAGTACATTATTGTAAAAATCTTAAATTTTCCTGGAATAAAGTATGCACTTTTGTGATTTTTAGAAAATAGACATGACAAGGAATGACATGAGCCAAAAATATTCTAAAACTGAAACAATTTTTTGTTTAGCCTGCTCGCTATATCTGATTCTCTCTTTATTATTATTATATAATATTATTATATTATATTATTATCACGAGGGGTGATCATAAAGTTATCATAATACCTCTCTTTTATTACTATTTTTTATATATTTTCACGGGATGTGTTAGCATCAATGGTGAATTGATTCATCATAAAATATTTATGTTAATATGAGAATTAAATAAAATATGGTTGCTGTAGCAAGCAGTAATCATGTGACCAGAGGCAAAGTACAATTCAATATGAAAACTTCCTTTATCACCCTAAAATGCTCAGAAACATGTGTCATAGAATAAGTTTAAATATCAACACACGTGGTGTCACAAAAGCAAAGAGAAACTACTTTGAAGGAATGGGTTATTCTGAATATGTGAATCAACAATTCAGAAGTCTGGCAAAATTTAGGTAAAACTGCACCTTAGAAAATTTGCCCCGTGGGTGCAGATTGAATGTTGGTTAAAACCCACTAACATTTTTGTTCTAAAACCTATGTTAATTTTATTTGTACGCTAGATAGGTAAGTGAAAAAATGTGAAAAAATTCACGAAAATCGATTCCATTGCTTGTTTTACAGACATATTATGAGAACTTTATGATAACCCCTCGTACATGTACTACTGTAAAATTTACCACAACCTTGTGGCTCAGCGGTAAACTACATTATAGATAATATTTTTATCCATTTATCATGTTATATATCATTTTATTAGAACGATTGAATTATTCATCAACTGTTATATCATAGTACCTATGTGTGCAATACTTGAAGTATTAAAAGTGAGCTTGAATAAAACTTAACTCATTTTGAGACACCCAGAATAGAATTTTACTATAAATATAATCAAGGGAGTTGTAAAAAACTAATGCGTTAGATTAACGTGCAATCGCTAATTCCCTGCTTTATTTTTATCTTGGAATAAAGAAAGTCATTTCGACGGAAGAGTATAAAATCGGGATAATCCACAGCTCATCTAAGCATACAAGAAATCGTTTAGGTGTCGGGATACTAGATAGGCATCTTAAATTCTGTGTGCTGCATCTAAATTCAATAATTTCTACATCAAAGTAGGCCTGTTGTAAAATACGAGAGACAAAATTAGGTACGTGGTCTGATCCTTTTGACCTTTCAAATATTCGAAATAAACGAAGAAGTTACACTATTTATTTGATCGATAACACGAACCTTGTATTTTTGTATTTTCCATATCAATTTAACAAAGTTTTTTAGGTAGATGTGATAGCGTTTTGGAACGAGTGTTGATTACTGACTGATTGGCAACTCAAAAAGCAGGTTTAAACCTTTATTCAATTTTCCGAGGTTCGGCTGGAAATCCTTTTTTATACTTTTTTAATTAACGTTAACATTTTGTTTCGCAAAACACATCACATGAATAAAAACGCTTTTAAATTATTTTTAAAGCTTGCCCAAAATACCATTATCATTGAAAGATAAAATATTCTAGTGAAAAGTACCATTTTTAATTAAATCTCTCTCACAAGTGTTGAACTATATAACTTAATTTTTATATTCATTGTTTAACTAACCGGTGGAAGGTCCATGACTGCATCTCCGCCAACCGGTGCCGACAGGGCCAACGTCAAACATTGTATGACGATTCCTATGATTAGCAGAACTCTGGTAGTGTCCATGTCGGTGATCTGTGCTTGTGATATTCGTTGACTGGATTTGCCTCTCGTGGAGTTTTCAATAAAAGGAAGATGAAACAATTCCCGGTACTATTTATCCAGCGGAAGGATCGTATCTGAAGTGCGTTACATGATAAAGATATGGCCTATGATTGGTTGATAACACGAGAGCCTTGCTACGCGCACAAATGAACCTATATCAATCTAATACCAACGTCATCGATCACATTTCTCCAATATTGCGAAAACAAATCAAATAACGCACATATACTTTCACTTGAAATAATTAATACTTTTATAAGTGGACTGATATGTAGTAACTAGATTTGAAATTGATCAAGTGCAAACCAGCAAATGTGTCTCTGATCAAGATACGCACATTGAAACGAGTCACGTTTCCCACAGGTCTTAATTTGTTCTCCGATTCTTTTTAAACTACATAATTCCCTCCTGAAATACAACAAGCTGTTCATTCAGAAATGTTGACACCATCTTCTGATTGAAGGCCAGGATATAGCTGCAATTTATTGTGTTATTTTTCATAAGTTGGCCAAAGTCAAAATACTACATTGATAATTCTGTAGAGACAACCATAAAACAGGACCGAGGGGAATTAAACGAGAGTTATGGATTCTATAGTTGAGTAGAATTCCAAATGTATGCGATGTAATGGTAAACGTGTATGAATGGCATGTTTAGAAATACCAAGGCGCAAGACACAAGCGTCCGAATGCTGTTTTGGGGTTCATAGGACCCAAATCTTGTAAATATTATTAACATCATTTGAATCTCAACATTCATAGTGATTTTTGTTTTGTTTTTTTCTTTTACAGACAGGGGGAGGGGGAGCTGTTTGTGATGAAATGAATTGGGGGAGTTTTCTCAAGCATTTCCCTTATGTTTTTCATCCAAAAACATCAATTCACTTTAAAACATTTTATTGACTATAAGATTGCACCATATAATCCCAAAAAATTATTTCTCATTTTCAAGGATTATCTATGGATTAACACCCAGGTATTTTAATTTTTCAAACTTCAGAGGACTGGGAATCATTGATCCTATTCGTTTTTGAATAATATAATTGCTGTTTTATATAGGTTTCATATGCCAATAATTTCTCAAACTGTGTAAATGCTACCCATTTCTTAATCCCTAGAATTTTCTCTTTGGGGAATGTCCCATAGAAATCAAATGGTACAGTTCCAAGCAGATTTTGAGATAACAGAAATTAAATCTTCAATACACACTTTATTGGGTTGTTTTGGTTTATTTCGCAACCCAAAAAGGTGTGTATTAAGCATAGGTTGTTGCCGCAGTAACCCTACTATCACACCAAACTAGTTCTCACTACGTTCTCGAAAACGGGCTTCAACTGTGTACGAACGGACTGGACCTACTAAGAACCGTTTGGGATCTATTTACAAACTTCATCGAACGTACTCGAACGGGTAGGTCCTCTAGAACTTAGACAATGCTCAAAATGTTCTCGTGGTCGTCACATTCTACAATTAGAACGAGTGACAACGTACTAACGACGAGCTGGACGTACTACGAACGGAACCGTCGTACTTCAATCCTACTAGGGACGTTTTAACAACGGGTTGAACTGTCTGAGGACGTGTTGAGAACGAGGTAACACTAATTGCAAACGGGTTTAAACTGATTAAGAACGTATTTAACACTGCTTATGAACGAGTTAGCAAAAATATAGCTATCACACCAAAAAGGTTGCCACTGCGTTCTTCAAAACTGGTTTGAAACTGTGTGCGAACGGAATGAACGTAGCTGCAACTTTCTAAGGTCTATTTACGAACTTTATGAACGTTCTCAGACGGGAATGTGATTTTAGAATTTTGAATCGATTCAAAATTCGATGGCGACCATACCGTTCTGTAATCAGGTCATGTTGACCTTCTAGACTAAGGGACGCGTTCTGCGACGTTGCACACCGACGTGGTGCGACCTGAACGAACTGCAAACGAGATGGACGTATTGAAGACTGTTTAAGAACGAAGAAGCTAATTATTTCAGACATATTTCCCGACCACAGGCAGATTGAGCCCGTTTTACGACGTTTTCGTAGGACTGGCAAGAACGGGCAAGAACTAGTTTGGTGTGATAAGGGGGTTAGATGCCCCAGTTAGCTGCAACTGTTTGTTACTGAGCTGCTTTGACATGTGTGCTTCCTGGTTGCTCAAGAACGCTTTACCTTGATCCAAAATAACTATACATCCTCATTAAGTCTTTTATAAGTATCTGATAATATTGATGAGCTGACATGACAGTTGGTTGTAATAGCTGCTGTAATCTGTAAGATGATCTTAGCACAACGCATTCGTTTGGAAAATATCGTACATTATGACTTCTAATTTGAAACTGGTTTACAAGCCTCTTTTAATAACCAACTACTATCGTTCCCTATTTTCAGGATATCCTGCGATTTGTGAGGAATATTCATTTGCAGGATACGCTACGATTAACAATAAGAATATTGTTTTCACAAGCAGATAAAGTGATACGATCGGGCAGGGGAGAAATGTGGACTTTCATAAACGGGGAAAGCAGTATCGATTCTATTCAATACATGGAAATAACACCACAGCCCGGAATAAATTGAACTGGTTCAGTCAACAATGATGTATTTCACAAACTTCAACTCCTTCATCAACCACTCGAAAGGCTAAGAGCTTCTTACGCTACCTTCCGTACGAAAACAAGGAGCCAATGTTGAGTTGTACTTGACATGACGGTCGATTGTGTTCCCGTACACCTGTATAATTGTAATTCATCAAGTTAACTAATGTCAATTCAACTGATGCAATTTATATTTCAAAGAACTGACGACTGAGAGGTCCATCATTAAGTAATTCATCAGCGGACACGAAAGCAAAGGTAAATAACTTTCAACACGACACTGCGGCGCTTTTCGATGACGGCAGTAACCATCGTGTCGTCACACTTGCCTACGCGATTCAAAATACGTCAAATATATTTATTTCCATTGATAGCGCAAAATGGTGTAGTATAACTGACAAATCAGTGACAACTAATATTTGACTGATGGAAACGGTTTGTCTGTAAACTTAATATATGGAATTGGTACAACATAGCATGATAAACTATCGTAGTTAATACAAACACTTGTCAAATAGATACAATGAGGACCTGAATGACACTTGACGTAAAACTAAATTAGTGTTTTTGTAGAAGAGCAGAACAAATCTCATTTCTAATTGCAGGTCTGTCACTGGATTCTCATATGAAAAATTAAATGTGACAAGGCGATTTGTTCATTTTGGCCCACTCTGTAAAGCATATCCTAATTATTGGCTATGGGCGTAGTTATTCTGGTTTAACTTTATGTGGCTGGAGGAGTACTAGTGATCTTACAGAGTAGAAGAATGTTGGAGGAAATATCTATTTCCAATTAAAATAAAAATGATAGTGTAGTTCTTACAATTCAGTCGAAATGTTGAGACATGCTCAGACCTCTATTTAGTGATATTTTCATTTCAAATATGGCGGCCAATCCGATGTCTGACGACCCATACAAAGAATCTAGGCAGTTTGCATTTTTATCTCCTGTGAAATAACAAGTGGAATTTAGTAGTTGTTATGTGTTTTATTATCATTCTGCATCGTAATTCTATGTGATGTGGTGTTGAAATGTCAGCAGAAATACATATCCATACGATAATCGAGTGAATCAGATAATCAGATCAGATTTTTCGAAAACCCGTCTCGTGCTAAGAGTGTAAAAACTTGTATTAACATGCTCAAAAGTGCCAATGTGCACATCAATGTCAAGCTAAATCAATGTTGTGTCTAAAACAGGTACCTGATCTACTCAAAACAGCTTGTCATTCACGTATACACGCTTAGCAAACACGGCGAAATGATCTGAATCTTGGAATTTCGTTCGAGAGCTAGTAATGTTTGCTCCGGTCTTCGTCATAAGTGTTCATCAGACTTCACGCATGCTCAGTAGAAAAACCATTGACCAATAACGTTTATAAATCAATTTGGCGCATGCGCCTTACAACGGTAAAGAAATTCGTATTTATAAACGAACCAATTTGAGATAACCCGATATCAGTCGGAGAAATCTGACGATCTTCGAAACTCACTTCAAAAAATCAAATGCGGACTGACGGCGTATTCTACTATGCTTGGATCTAAGATTTTCAGTATAGATAAAGTCTTTTATGATCTTTCGAATGAGGTAAGTTTCTAGTTCGAAAGACAATCGTATCAACTTGAACAAAAGTTGAGTTTTGACGAAAACTTTTAACATGCGCAGAAGTCCCATTTTCGTTGTACCATATTGACTGAATTATGAAATACCTGAACAAAATATGAGATCAGATATTGAAGTCATAAGACAGAGCAATTCAGTATAATTGGAGAGCAGAACTTCCACTTTTCAAAACCATATTGCCAATTACTCAAAAAATAGTAGAGGCATGAAATGCAGCTGCTATTTGCGGAATATAGTCGCCGGAATTAATTTCAAGGAATATTGTGTAATAAAAGACGTGAGTTGCAGACTGGGTCCTTGTAAAGCAAAATGGCCGCCTTGTAAATTACCCGGCATGCCCAACATTAAAGGGGCAATAAGGACTGTAGAGAAAATATGAATGTTTTTTTCATTTTTTCTGAGCTATCAAGGCAACATTTGGGTTAACATCTTCTTTGACATACCTATTTTCTTAAAATGTATGGATAAATTATCAATTTCAGCATTAAGAAGTGTAAATTCAGTTCAAAGCTTCAAAAAGGGGACTTCCACTTTTATATTTTTAAGATCCACCATGTTTCATTAAGAATATCAGCTAAAATAATGTTAATCTAGGGGGTTTCTTTGTAGATAATAAAAATAGATGTTAGTCTTGATGAAATATCCAAACTTAAATATATTTTGACTCTGGTCCATGATCGTTGAATGACCCCTCTGCACCATGGGCTCTATCCATGTCTGCACTAATTATTCCACCTTTAAAAATCGTTGCACTA